TAAGGTCGAAGAGAAAGGTCTCCTCTGCTCACGCTGGTATGAAAAACATTTCAGCTGAAGTTTCCATATTTTGTCTGTGAACTAACTGAAGACACTTTGTAACTTTTAGAAATATAGAATTCCGTGAGCTACATTGTTGCAGTCGCTGCGCGCTGGACAAAATCTTTGAAATTTACACTTTCGATCGCTGTCCACAGGGGTGGTCTGGCCAAAAATCATTTTTGGCTTGTGGCGACGCAAAAAAAGAGAATTGGAGTACAACTAAACTATTTTTGAAACATGTGTCCTAAACCCTTTTTATGGGCAAAAAATTAAAGAAAACTTTTTTCCGACGGGAAGTCGAGAGGACCGCTCTTAGCGAGAGTGGCACTTAAAAACTATTCGAATCCAAAAGAACCTTCGGTTCCCGATGCATGACTTTTGATGGTACTCCAGCCGCCTGTTGGCTGCACTGACGGGAGGTCTAAATGCAAACGCAGTTTTTTAAGAGCAATTTGTAAATAAACAAAACTTTAACATTTTTTTTCCTTGTTAACTCCAATTATATCTGGGTTTCGTTAAGCATCGTCGTTGGATCAGTCCGAAATCTCGTACTTCATTGAGTCAAGGACATATTCACTGGAGCCACTCGAAGCGCTTGACGTATCGTCACTCGGCGTCTGCAGCGACTTAGAAGCCTTACAAACGTTTTTCACAGCTCTAAATCGCGGAAGGCGTACACTAATGGATTCATGGCGCTGTTACTGTACTGGAGCCATTTTGAAAACAGAAGAAAACCCGAGAGTTTATGTAAAGGAAAGCACTCTCTGCAAAACACCGAAATGGTGCTCACTGTAAAGAAAGACAACCAAGAAACGAGAAAAAGCGCAGTCACAAATGTAAGGGTGAGGGCTGTGCGGTGTTGTTATTTTAAGTTCTTGCGTATTTTGTCGCTTTCTTCCTGATTTGCTATTGTTGGAAGATTGGAGACCAGCGATCGAGCCACCTTAAAAATGGAAATGTTGACAACGCTCACAAGAATTCCTGGTCCAACATAACCAACGAACAACAAAAACGGAGTGTAAATTCTGTATGGACTATTGTTCGAGTCACTCGAAGATTTATCCAAGGCAGGTCGAATTGCTGCTATCACGGAAGCTGTCATCCAAACACAGCATATGACTATCGTATAATGTGTCGTGGAGAGTGCTTCGTGAATAAAGGGACGCGAAATGGCCAACCATCGTTCCAGGCTAACGGTTGTTAGATGGAAGATTGAAACCATTGCACTTAAAATGTCGAAGGAGATGAAAAACGTATTCAGAGGTCCATAATGTGCGCCTGTCAAACTGACGTATATCCACAGAGGTAGAGATACACATCCCACCAGTAGATCCGAGATAGCCAAACTCACCAGAAACGTGTAAGTACCAGTGCCGAGTCTAAAGTTTGAAAAATACGATGCCACTACAAAATAATTTCAAGTTATGATCACAAACATGAGAAACACGCAAAACAGTATCTGAAAAGCTGAGCTCCAGGACATTTCAACCACCATCGTCTAATTAAGCTGAAAAAAACTCTGTTAAACTCGAGACATTGCCAGTTATGAAGAAATATGCTTCACAATCGCAAAATCTTCATCCTGATCTTCATTTGCAAAAGTCCACAAATCGACAACCGGAGTTTTAATGTTGACTTTGACGTTGTTAGGGTTGCAGAAGTAACATCTTGATTTATTGTTCTCAATCAAAAGCTGATAAAGACCAATTCTTCTAATAAGTGTTCCGTTATCTGAAAAGAACAAACGACAAAACTGAACAAATTTGTCGGGTTTGCTCTAAAAAGGATGGAAACCCATCAGTGATCTCTTTCACATTGCCACAATGAAAAGGACACATTTAGTGATCAGAGAGCGGGAGTAATAGTCACCTTATGAAAACAATTCCAAACCTTTATGCCAACAAGACTGGGAAACTGAACGATCAATTTCATTTCACCGTTTATCACGTCCTCGAAGGTGTCTTCGCTTTTCAAGTAATGATAAACACCCTTCTACAAAATTGGTTCCCATGCTTTGTTTTATGCGAGGACAATCGAGAAGACACTCCCTTTACAAAGGAAATGGTTTGCCTTAGTTTTAATCAATTCTCGTTCGGTTGAGTACACAGCTGTCCGTACTGTTAGCAAGGCTTTAGAAATGCAAATTATCGGGAAAAGCCTTCATTCTTCTCCAATCACCACTTGATTAAACGCATTAATTGATAAGAAACTTTTTGTCCTCAGGAATAAGCTTTTTTATGCCATTCCCTTTACAAAACTATAGGCAAATACAGTACTGAAAACAATCTTTATTTTCAACTTAGAGATAAAGAAATATTTTGCAGGGGCACTGCATTTATTCAAAAGCTAGAAAAAACATCACCGGTTTATGATGACATTGTGTTTCATTCATGGTCAGCTATTGACAGATCTTGAATGAAAGTCTCCCTCATATTGCATAACATTATCATATTATGAA